AATTATTGCGATGCAGTCACTATTTGGTGATTCCCACAAAAACAAAGAGATAAGATCACGATCGTTATATCCAAAAGTACGAAAGGAGTTAAAGACCTTTTAATCTTCCGTTGCTTTGGTATGAGTAAGTCTAACGTGACACTTTACGTCGTCGCATCTGTTCCAAGCGACAATTAGAATATTATCTCAGATGGTATCCATTTAGTGCTTATCGAAGATGAATGCCATAAGCCGTCTGCATCAAAAGTAAATGATACTGTACAAAATATAATGATTTTTCATCTCAGTTATGAATAGAAAAAAAAAATAGTTATTATTATTTGTACTGTTTGTAAGAGATATATCATTTAAGCGTGCATTTATAGCTTTAAATTCTATTGTTTTGTTATAAAAGATAAAAATTTCATTTAATTCAAATTTAGATTTGCAGTTTTACATACGTACAATTTTCAACGATTGACAAATATGTTCGTATGTCTTGCGTTAAACATTTCTTTCTGAAACTGGCAAATCTTCTGACGATTATTTCGTCAAAAGCCTAATTTCTACCGGTTCACAGCAAAAGTCACGGCACTATATTGGCCGATTGAGTTTTCAACGATTGACCAATATATTTGTATGTCTTGTGTTAAACATATTTTTCTGAAACTGGCAAAAATCGGACTTCCGACGATTATCTCGCCAAAAGCCTAATCTACACAGTAAACTCGACACGGCGCTATATTGGCCTATTGATCTACCGAGCTGACAATCAGCGTTTTCCAATGACACCGTGCCCGTATATGACACACGGCGTGCGACGGACGGTGACGTCATCAAGGCTGTATAGGTCAACAGTCGTGCGCGCCTCGTTTCTGTCATTTGCATAGAAATAAGCCACAATGGGACGAGAGCGTGCGAGCGAGCGATGCAATAGGTTTCAGGCCGCGAAAGGAGTCACAATGATGAAGTTGCATTAGAAGCTACACTTATACAAGGAATAGTAAGAGGTATCTCATATATTGATTTTGTTACATTCTGACTGCACAGACAGTATCACCTTCCATTTCATACCCAGTTCGATGGCAAATAAAGATTACTATTATTATATCTCAAAAAAGAGGAATTTCATTTGAACAGAGAAGATATATATATGTATACGTGGAGACCGATACTAAATTCGCAAAAGGTTCTCTTTTATATGAACTCATTCTGATAACATCCATTTATAGGAGATAAATTAGGGTCTATGACATGAGAGAGCACTCGACCAAAATAAACGCGGTGCTCTTAAGGCATAAATGTTCGATCCATGTACGCGTGGCCTCTTATTCTGCATCAAGTGGCTCTTATTACTCAAAGCTAGCTTGGGAATCCAGCATTGACCGTTTGGCGAAACAAATTGAATTACTCATTAGTTTTGATTGATTTACTTACAAGTGAAGTCAGTTTGCAGAGAAACACGTCACATCGGTGGCCGTTGTAGCCTCCTCTATACAGAAAGAGAATTAGAGAACGACATCCATCATGCTAACTTTAACTATAATAAACATAGTCCACAGTGAGATAAATATACCCAGTCTCCGTTTTAAAGCGGTAATTATATTCTACAGATGTAAATTCCGCACAATTGACTATAAATTATTATACAAATGGACCGAAATTATCATTTCTCGCAACGGTCACGTTACAACTACCATTAATAATATGCAATTTAGTAATTAATTGGAAATGATCACTGTTTCGTTGAATTTCAGATTTATCAATGGTTACTTTGTTGGTAAAGCTAATCATCAATCTAAATAACGATAATTACATTACCGTGCACATGAACCTAATCCCATTTGAGTTATAAATATATCTAATAGTATGAAGAAGACGTATGTTGATGAAACATTGTTCTATATAAATATCGGTTAAACAATATGTAATTGGTATACATTTATATAACAGCTGTATATTATGGTTAATTAATTTAAAACAAGCGTGCATCTTTATTGTCTCTAGCCACTGTTTAAAATACAGACGGGGACAACGTTATTCTTTGTTTTCTTAAAGTTGTATTAATAATTTAAATTTTACATTAAGTTTTTATACTGCTTATCTCTGCACTTAATATGAAACATTAAAATTCGTGGAAAAATGGACGTTTATCGTGTAATATGGAGTTTTTCGTTCGTTTTCGAATCGAGTCCAAACGCTTAACCACTGGACATTTTGTTTTTTGATAAGGCGGCTAGCGAGCTGGCGATTTACCTGACGTCGAGTGATAACCGCCGTCCATGCCCATTTCAACTCCCGTAGGGTTACAAATGCTCATACTACATTACTCAACAGACGAAATGTAGAAGTAGGTAACACGTGCACTTCATCGGTCTTCAGTGAGATCGTTGTTCTTCCCCGGAGGGACCTATCCATTCGTGCAACAGCGAAGACTGTGATAGGGCCTATCACAGTTTAAACTAAACGGCTAATTGCCTCACCGGCAAAAATCTCAACATATTTTAACTACATTGTTTTCGTTGCATTTTAAATAATGCTTGGCGCGTCTATTGTCGTCCTTCACAGCACACAAATAATTTCAAACGTCGTTTTACATCGATAATTCGAACGAGAGACTAGTTAGTATATTTAGTTTGTAAAAAAATTGCACGTGAGTAGATCTATCGAATGGAATTGAATATTGGATCAAAGTACCTCACGCATAATTTTCAAAGTAAAATTTAATTAAAAAAGACGATTAAATTTGCTCCGCACACGACAAAATAACGGAAACTTTCTACGAAAAACTTTAAACGCCATCCGTGGTAAGAGCCAGTCAAAGTGGGTCACAGCACGATCCCAGGCTGTGCTTAGAAGGCAGATAGTTTTCTTAAAACAACAATGAAGAGTATTGTTTCAGCCGCAAGACGTATCAATTACGAATTCCTGCGTCCACTCGCGAATCTCGAGTGAGCTTCGTTTGGCAAATGGCTTAGACATCTTTATTTATTTATTTATTACACTTACGCACACAACTATCATTACAGGCTGACCCAATGCGATAGTGTAGCCAAAAATTATAAAATAGTCGAAACAAAAAATAAACAATAAAAGCTAACAATTCCATGAAACCAATGAAACCCAGTAAGAATATAATAATAAAAATCATACATATAACTTTATGTGTAACATATCACGTTACACATCGTAAAGATTTCGCAGCTTTTAGAAATTATTTCGATGTAGACGGCTATTAAAACAAATGTTATATGCCTTATTCGTACATACATCACTTTACATTGTTATCATATAAGTTGGTATAACTAGAGTCCGTTATCTTTTAGTTGACAATTGTAATTCTATAGACCATGTTACTCTCAGTTTTGTTTATTTATCATAAGTTCACGAGATGAACTCTAGCAGCTTTTAGAAGAAAAATGCACGGTCACGAAGTGGACTGAGGAGTTGGAAATGTGACTGTTAACCCGTGTTTACCATCAGTTTTAAAGTTCAAATTACTGTCAGTTTTTTTTTTATTTATTGTGGTGTAGATCCAACTAACAACAAGATAGATTTTCGTGCAAATTTTACCATTGAGTTAAAAGTGTCATCTCAAACTGTCAACTCCAACTTCAGCTGTTGAAGTTTTTACAATTATAATCGCTTCTTTACTTTTAACCGACAGCGAAATAATGCGTTTTACTTTTATGAAGACTGCCTTGCAAGTCATTCAGTGACTATTTCAAAAGTTTACTGTAGAAATCTGGACTCCGACAACTCTTATGTATAACTGCTCTCGATCCTTGGAACGGCGTTAACGAGGAAGTTCTACGATTACAAACGCCTCCTTCGACAGAGCCGGCCGCCTCGAACAGGCCGTTGAAGTGATTTGTCATAAACATTAAAATTCTACGGTCGCACAAAGCCAATGCATGCAACTGGTGCAGTCTGTCACATGTAACACGCGTCGCGGCAACATGACTTGAACGTTGTTAGCTACTCCTTCCGTAAGGTCGGCGTCATCTTGAAAAAATGACAGGAATCCAAGATGGCTTCCTAGACTTCCTGAGCAGATGTGACCGCCGACGCTGCGGCCGATCAGTATTCATATAAACCTTGGAAACCGGTAACAGGCACTTTTGTGGCGACTCGAGCGCGTTGTCTACTTACTTTGAATTTCGTAGATATGCGTATCTACGAAATTCAATACCCAAAGTTTCATTAAATACATCATGAATATAAATTGAGGCATCTTTTATTTTAATTATTGAAATTATTTTTCTTTGGCGCGTTTGGAAACAAATATTAGAGTGATATTTTTACGACACATACATACAAATACGTACGTGGAACACAAAGCGACATGATGAAGTTTGTTGCAAAGCTTCACGGTATGACTATGGTGACCAATATCAACTCTTTCACATTTACCTATAAGTTCCAAGTTATTTTATTAAACCGTTATCAATTGCATCTAAAATCTTTTTCACAAACGAATAGTTATACGGCACAGGGGAATAAAATTTTTAGTAATTTTACGTTTGTTACGCTAAAGAAGTCTTCATACGTGCGTACATAAATAAGTACACACTTACTTTTTATGTTTAGTGTCACTTAGATTAAACTTAAAATATGTGATAAACTTTTCGCCACCTCCATTCCAGCCTGCGCTCCGGATTACGCGTCCAGACGGTCTAGCCATTAAGATAAGCGGTCGATATCCGCGCGAAAATCTCTACATCTTGTCTACTCTTTTTTATTTCATTTTTAACATTGCTTGGCGCCATCTAATGTGCTTCCTTCCTACAGCAAAAACAATTCTACACAAAATAAATTTAAATGTGTCCGTTACCGATAAGTCAAGATAAAGAACGTGGCTGATAGACATATGATTCTTTTTTAACGAATATAATTAGTTTAATTTCGACCACGAGCAAATAAAAGCTAAAATAGCTTCAATACACAGATCCGAGAACTTGAAATATTCGAATCTTAACAGAGCTTTTGATGGCGAAAGTGTAAGCCTGTTAACTATTTACCTTTACTCTCCTGGGATGCCTTTCCATCTCTACGGTTCTATAATGTTCGGACGTCCTGTGCTCGCTCGCGCTCCTAGTGAGGTCCTCGGTGGAGGCTCTCTCCTCGCCGCGGGTGAGCGTCGTCACCTTCCTCACTATCCTCGTGGTTATCCGCCTCTGGCCGCTGTCGTCCTTCCTCGAGATCTTGGTGGACTCCAGCGAGGAGCCCAGCACCTCGGTGGACATGCGCTTGTTCGTGTGGATCGCCTGCAGCTCCGATATCCCCCTGCCGCCGGCGGAGAGAGGTATAGCGAGCGCGCTCTGGCCGGCGTCGTACTCGAAGTGGGTCTGGTTGCCGTCGTGGTAGACCCTGCCGCTGTACTCCTCCCGGTAGGAGCCGGAGCGCTGGCTGGACGGGCGCTCCATGCCCGGGTACTTGCCGTCGTAAACCGTCTCGCTCTTGGTCAAGCCCTCGCGCAGGCTTCTGGGCACAGAGGCCAGGTTCAGACTGGTCGTGATGGGCGAGCCGACTGGCGACTGAGTCTTCTTCAGGCTCGACTTCAGGGGCTTGGATTCGTCGCCTTCTAGGGTGCCCTGGACGAACAGCCGCTTGCTGCTGCCCTCTTTCACGAATCGGTACATCGACATTCTCGTTCGTTCGGAGGCTCAGAGGCCGGGATACAACATAATACCGTTCTGATGACTCCGCACACTGCAAAGGCGTTAGCGGGCGCCTTATTACGCATTCGACGCGCGCGCCGTTGTCACCGTTATATGTGACAAAACTGACAAACAGTGGTACGGTGCATAAAAGGCGATGCGGTGTTGGAAATTGTCGACATGCCGCGTCCGTCGAGTTTGATCTCGGATACCATTAACTACGCATTACGGTGCCATTTCGTTCCCATAACTACAACTTTACTCATCGATCGAATAAATGCGACTTAACTTTTTGTTATTGCTTCTAGAATATTGCGCATCGCAATAAAACTACTTAATTATGTTTCATCGCTGTTAATTTGAATATCGAATTTTTATAGCATCCATTCACGGAATCGAATGAGTCGGTCGGAAAATGTTTACTTATCGAATGATTTGATGACTCCGTGGCTCAGTTGCCAAGGTATTGGCTTTGGCGCCGGGAATCGTAGGTTCGATTCCCACATGGGACAACTATTCGTGTGACCCACAAATGGGTGTTTGTTAGTCCGCGTGAAGTTTATGTTTGCAAAACGTCCTAACACAGTATATTTATATTATTATCCAACAGTAAGGCGATGGTTTGAAAAAAGAAAAAATGTGGCAATTCAAATGGACCGAGCCTCGGACTTGAACGGTATCGTATACATTGTTCTTACTCAAGTACTGTTGCGATACAGCGTACCGTATACGACATCGGATTAGTTGTGTATCGACTCCATTTTTGGCGCGGTCGATCGACGATGACAGGGGCTTTCCGGCGGACGTAAGCCCCAGCGGAGGAAAGGAGATACTTTGAACACGAGACGCAATATCTATGTGAGCGGACTGAGAAACAAAGGAAGTTACGGCCTTCGTGCATTTTTTATGTGAACTTTGTCCTGCGAGCAGACACATTATTTTATTGTGAATACCGCCGCCCATGGACATCTAACACCCGAAGGTAGGCAGACTCGTTGACAACCTTTTAAAGTGAGCCCCGGCTACCTAACTCGAAGATTAAGTTTCCCTTTAGTATTTTTCGTTGAAAAAGTTTATTTTACGTATTTTGTTTTAGCACTCTCCCAGTTCTGTTCTCCAGTTTCTAGGGCCATTGGAATGGCTGTGGTCTTTTTAAACGACCTATTTATACATTTAAAGGTATATGCCGTTTAGTTCGTCGCTTTTAGGGTCGTTAAGACCTCGTTCCAGACATGAGATCCGTGCAAAGTGTGACTGCATAACGTTTCACACGAACGTTTCAATTGGCTTCACGAGAATAGGAATTTGCATAAATTATTATTTTTTACTTAATTTAGGATAATATTACACTGTGTTGTAAGGAAGTTTTACAAACTTAAATTTCACGTGGACGAACAACCAGATGCGAAACAGCTATCTATAATAAATAATAATAAAATATCTTTATTCACATAGACGCTTGCGCCTTGTTATGAAACATCAAAATTATCTGTGGGTCACACAAATAGTTGTCCCGTGTGGGATTCGAACCCACGACCACCGACGTCGACCTTGGCAACTACACCATGATCAAACTCTGTATAAATTGCGTACAAATTTATATTTGGTATATCATAATTTATAGTAGTTATGTCTATCCATATAAGTATGTAGAGTTTTGAAGAAACACATGGTAACTACACTATTTCGGCTTTATTTCTAAAATTGCGAAAATATCAACTGCACGAATGTTGAGGTGAGGATTGTAGACACAATATTTTGATGTTCCGAAAATTACTAAAATATAAATTCACGAATATTACTACGTTAGGATTGTAAACATAGTATTACGTTCTGCGTTCCGAAAATTACGAGAATATATCACGAATATTATACTAGGTGCAAATTGTAAACACAGTATTTCGTCCCAAAATACAATTTCGTAATAAAATCACGAGAATATATCACGAGTATTGTTGGCCGAGCGACATTCGTAACAAGACCGCGTGTTTGACAAAGGCGATAGGCGAAGGCGGTAGTCCCTCACGCGTAAGGCTTCGTGCGTGGGCGGTAATAAATTCATCAATCAATACCTCATACCGGTAATTAGATATTCAACTTATTCAACCACTAAGTGTGGGTGACGATTGCGGAGCGTTTTTACCAGCGGGGTCCAAAGGCGCGTCGCCTACGCGGGGGACCTTGCGATGCTTTATATGGGAGCACGGCTTCGTGCTAGCAGTTCCGATCCGAGGGAATTCTTTATTGGCACGCTATCAGATCGGCGATTAAAACGCGCGCAAAACTGTGCGTGAAATGTATGTTTGAACACTAATCCCGTCCGTATATCGACGTATATTCGGGCTTTACTTGTCCACGACCTCTGGCATTAAACAACTATTAAAAACAAACCACGATCGTAATGTACCGGCAAATATGATGTTAAAAACAAGAGCGTATTCAGCACCGCGTTTTGCGCTGCATCAAAATCATTACTATTCCGTCAGCGAGAGAAACAAAACGGGCCCTATATACGCAGCAACTGACCGTTAATCTACGGCGCACTATTCGAATTTTCCGTTCGATTTATTCACGTTTCTTTTTTTTCATAAATCGACAATCCCACAACGGGCAACAACAATGCGGTTTCCGTTATCGCCGACGGTACAACGGCGGGCGGGTCGAACGACGTCACATCACTAACCGGCACACACAGCACATAAATCCTTTTTCGTTGAAAAAAAAAATATTCGCGATTCGAGATTCGTGTTCGTTTTTCAAAATCGGCCCGAGCGGGAGCGGCGCGCGCGCATCGATCGGTCGCTAACAGGTGACTGGCTGGCGGCGGCTGCGGCGCCTAGTTGCCCGTGACGGTGCGCCCGGTGAAAAACAAATGTTTCGACGTGGGCCCGAGTACGTACTTAGTTTCTTTTTTTTTATCTGAAAAGTTGCCAAGCGAGCAGACGGTTCACCTAATGTTAAGTAAATACCGCCGCCCATGGACATCTGCTACACCCGAGGGTTCCAGATGCGTTGACAACCTTTTGTAAATTGGGCGAAATTTCGGGCGGGCTCTATCTACATGGACGCCTTTGCCTTTATAAGTACTTCTGCGTTTCGTCTGGTGAGTGAGGTAGCTGGGGCCCACTTTATTATGAGGAGGCTACGCATCTGCAACCTTATGCATATATCCATGGGCGGCGGTTGTCACTTACCATGAAACGACTCCTAAAACAACGTGAAAGCGCTGACGCAAAGCACGCTTAAACTCGAAGCACTATATGACACGTAAATATTTGGATTGTGTGGGAATCGGAGCCGCATCAAGACGCGATTTCTTTACTTAGGAGGCACCCTAAGCCACCGCGCCATCGGTGTCGTTATGTCATAGCAGCTGGTGGTAGAATATATGAACAAGATATTTAAAAACGTATTCTAATGGAACATAACAAACATAAGATGTAACACCGAATCATGTGTTTTGCGTGGTGTATGAATATTATAATTACATTACTTAAACTAAGTTGATAGTTACATAACTAATGTCGATTGTCTAATACCAGCCTAGCCGTTTATATGGCATTAATAATACAATATAACTAATCGTTGATTTAAAAAAATAAAAACTACCAAAGCGACTATTTACAAATAAAAAACCGACAAAACGCGAGTCGGCCTCGCGCACGAACGGTTCCGTACCATTATCTATAAAAACGGCAAAAAAAATCATATCTGTTGTATGGGAACGCCACTTAAAATATTTTTTATTCTGTTTTTTTTTTAGTTTTACTTGTTATTATAGCGGCAACAGAAATAAGTTATCTGTGAAAATTTCAACTGTCTATCACTGTTCATGAGATATGGTCTGGTGACAGACGGACAGACAGACAGACAGAGAGCGGAGCCTTTATACGAGGGTCCCGTTTTACCCTTCGGGTAGGGAACCCTAAAAAAGAAAAATCTTTAAACGAATGCTGTTCAAAAATCACTTCCCTCAACTTAAAAATATTTTTATCGATGTTTTTCTTTCACATATACAATACAAGGTAAAATGTTTCATAATTAAAGTTTGAGTCACCTTAATTAATGGGGACAATTCATATCTACTTAAAAATGACGATTAGCGTCAACCTTAATGTGTTATTTAAAGACTTAAGGTATAGTATTTAATGATAGTCATTTATGAGATACAACGCAAATTACGAGTCCATGAGTCGCATATTACATACGTATGCATCATGGTGATTTTTGCACGTAACGTATTCAAAAAACCTAACCTAACCTAACCTAAGAGACTACATTAATAATTTTAGATATTCATGACGCCAATGAGGTATTTTTTAACCGACTTCTAAAAAGGAGGAGGTTATTGCACTGTCAAAACCTAAAGAACCTCCTTGCTGATCGGAAATTCACACAACGGTTTTATCAATTCACAGCGTTAGCTTATCGTCTTCTGCTCAAACTGAATTATTAACAATTTAATCATCAAGACGTTCATAAGCATAACTAATCAGCGAGGAAATGCAGTTATCATTCTTGACACCATGCCGCGTGGACTAGGTTTATTAGATTACATGTAATTCAGATAGATTTACGACCGGCTTCTGAAACACTGATCATCGTAATTGTCAGAAATTATTGACAGCTGATTAGTTAATTTCTACGATGATCAGTGTTTCAGAAACCGGGCGTTAATGTTGTAAATATTGGATAAATAAATTGTTTTATAAATAAATTGCTTCATATTCTTTACGGACAGTACAGGAACAGCTGTGGTCCGCTGCGCACTTGATAAAAAAAAACCCGTCTACCGTTCCGTTGCCGAAACTGATATGCCACAAATATGTACGGTCGTTAACAGTTAATCGCTGGTAATTATCGAGTAGCTAACGACCCACGTCCCACGGCTGCCACCTCTACGTCAAATTCAATTTGACATATGTCATTTTTGAATTTGAATGCGCCGTGTAAGAGTTTTTTTGCATGAAATTATCGTTGTATGGAAG